CCCCTTGATGGCTCGGTGGCTGCCATCCGCCAGTCAGGTTTGGGCCTGCAGTGAGACATGCGGGGCCTCACAGGATGGGGGTGGAGCCGGCCCTTTCCTCCCTGGCCCCAATGAGACCCAGAGTCACTGCCCACGAACGGCCTGTCTGGTTCCTAACCAAGCTGCTTAACAGCCATGATCCAAGAGACTCAGAAACAAATCTCGGAACCTAGTGGCTTTTGGCAGAAGTGCATCTGGTCCCTGCAGCAGTTACTGGCGCCAGGCCATCCCAGGTGGGAATAGGTTTCGTGCCCTGGCCTGTTCCCCCTGACCGCTTGGTGGCTGCCATCCGTCAGAGGCCATTGAACAGTCATGTTTGGGCCCGCAGTGACGAAATACGCGGGGCCTCACGAGATGCAGGTGGAGCTGGCCCTTTCCTCCCCGTCCCACTGAGACCCCAGGTCACCGCCCACAAGTGGCCTCTCTGGCTCCCGATCAAGCTGCTTAACTAAGGCCAAGATCCAAGAGACTCAGAAACAAATCTCAGAATCCAGCGGCTTTTGGCAGAAATGCGTCTGGTCCCCACAGCAGGTTACCGGTGCCAGGCCACCCCAAAGTGGAAAGGGTTCTGTCCCTCCGCCTGCTCCCCCTTGGCAACTTGGTGACCGCCATCCTCCAGAGGCCATTGGACAGTCAAGTTTGGGCTCACTGTGACAAGACATACGGGGCCTCACAGGATGGGGGTGGAGCTGGCCCTTTCCTCCCCACCCCAATGAGACCCCAGGTCACCACCCATGAACAGCTTCTCTGGCTCCTGATAAAGCTGCTTAATGGCCGTGATCCCAGAGACTCAGGAACAAATCTCGGAACCCAGCAGGTTTTGGCAAAAATCCCTCCAGATTTAATTGTCAAAATTTCAGAATTCCAAAATCACACAGCCACTACTGCAGCTGTGCGACATCATATGTTATTTACAACCAGCAACAGAAAACAAATTGTCTATGGTTGCCTTTTTGGCAGATCTGAGTGTTGGGATAAAATCCCAAATAATAATGGTGGGTCTGGTGTCGAAATATTGAGTATGATCAAAGTAGAGAGAGAGTAATATGGAAATCATCTGCCCCACAGGTAGGGGGAGAGTGTGGGATGGGGGGTATACTGGTTTTTTTTGTGGTGGAAAATGGGCACCGGTGAAGAGATGGGTGTTTTATCATTTTATGACCGAGACTTAAGCCCAAAAGCTTTGTAACTGCTCTCATGGTGATTCAACAAATAAATTTATAAAAAGGAAAAAAAAAAAGTAAGGTGGAGTTCATGCCCAAGTCAATCAGCCTAATCAATGACTGAATAAAGAGCAATACTCCTACATTTAAAAAAAAAAGTTATTCATTATCATTGCACTGGTGAACACAGTGGCACAAGTTTTCTAGCGAACACAGTGGCACAGGTACTGTGTTGCTAGTATGCTAGAAACTACTGTGCTAACAACTAACCATGAAGTATAACTTTATGATTAAAACAATGACTCTGGGATCCTTGAAAAGGCAAATATAAAAACATCTACTCAGCAAACTATTGCGTCTTTATCCTTCGTAGAGTAGAGAACTACTTACATGCAGAAAAAGGTGGAAAACAGTAATTTTGGAGGTGTAGGGGAATGCAAGAAGAGCATATCCCGAGCACAAACAAGACCCTCAGTTCCATCTCAGCACGGCCATGACTCCATGGGCAGTGCTGGAGGTAGCCCTGGTGGCCCAAGTACAGCTAGGCTCAACAATGAGTTACCTAGAACTCCAGGAACTGAGAGATTTTTGTCCACAGAATTGAACTTCTTTTGGTAGGTCACACCTGGCTATGCTCAGAGCCAATTCCTCGGTCTGCACTCAAGATCACCCCTGGTAGACCTGGGAAACCATACGCGGTGCCAGGGATTGAACCTGGTCATCTGCATGCAAGACAAGCACCTTACCTGTTGTACTATCTCTCTGGCCCCAGATTTGAAATTTTATGGAAGAAAGGGTGGCTGGAAGGGTCTCTTGGGATGCTGGTGAAGTGAATTGGGCCCCCTAGTTATGAGTGTGATTAGCATTGTTAGCACTGTCCTCCTGTAGTTCATCTATTTGCTCAATCGGGCACCAGTAAAGTCTCCATTGTGAGATTTGGTGTTACTGTTTTTGGCATATCGAATACTTCACGGAGTGGATCAGCAGCATGCAAGGCAAACGCCCTACCCACTGTGTTACTGCTCCAGTCCATGAGTGATATTGATATTGGAATAAAATGCATGAATAGCATACTGAACAGTATGGTAAATCCTGGTACATCAATAAAAATGGTTTAAAAATAAATATACGTATACTTATGTTCATTGTAGTGCTATGTACAATAGCCGAGATAGGCAAATAACACAAATGTCCAATGACAGCTGAATGGATACTGAAACCGTGATATATACACAATGGACTACTACTCGACTATTAAGAAAAGATGAAATTCACCTTTCGCTACAATATAGGTGAAACTGGAGTGTGTCATATTAAGCAAAATAAGTTTGAGTGAGAAGGACATACTGGATAATCTCCTCTGTGGTACATAGTGAAATAAAGCAAGGGAATGGACAGTCTCTAATAGTAACAAACCTATGGACTTTAACTACAGACTGAGGCCACAAAGTGGAAGGAGAATAGAGTTTGAGGAGGATAAAAGAGGCAGACTAGCAGTGACCTAAGGAAAGTGTCTTTGGTAGTTCAATGGTGGTTGGGGTGCAGTTAACTTTGTACATCGAAAGCATGAACATTAAGACTATTGTACACAGTATTACAAATTCAACCACAATAAAGAAGATACTGTGTTCTATAATGGTCTATCCTTTGGTCATTAACAATGAAAAAGATGGGTGGTGAGAGGGTTGAAAGAAATGCATACATACATCAGCTGAATGAGTAAGTTTTCACTATGATGTTCATAGAAGAAGAAATATCTAGCTTAATTAGCAAAGATAAAGAAATGCCAGTCCATCATTCTTATTCAGAGGCTGTTCTATGTTGAAATACAGCAAAAAACACAAGAACAAAAAAATATCTGCCACTAATCAACCAGCTGTGTAGTATCACAAAAGCAAACATCAATCAGCCTCCTCTCATAGTGTAAGTTCTGTTCATGTTTAGGCAAGATGAACTCTTCATTTCCCAATCTGGCTGGTATTATATGTAAGGATGGAAACATCAATCCTAAAGATATAAGAAGACAGTCTAACTAAAGCGCTATAGTATTAAAAATAGGAATAAATAAACAAAATAAACAAAAGATTCTTTTCAACTACCAAAAAAAGAAAATTGTCCAACAACTTTAAAAGATATAGTAACTCCTGTGTCTAAAGGATCACAAAGGTGATAAATAACATATTCAGAAACCTGTGTTCAGTGAACCATGCAGTGCCTGCAATAGAAACCAGGGCCTCACACCAGTGGGACATGTGCTCTGCTACTGCAGCTACATCCCCAGCCCCCACACTTTCCTTTTGGTTTGTGAGCTACACCTACTTGTGCTAAAGGCTTACTCCTGGTTCAGTGCTCTCAGGGATCACTCCTGGCTGTGTTTTGGGCATTGTTTTGAGAGACATGTTTTGGGGATCAAATTAGGGCCTTAAATCCTGTACTATCTCTTTGGCTTACACCCTTTTCTTAGAACACTAGGAAACAAATTCGCAGAATTTTCTGTGTGCTGCTGTTTTTTTAACTGAGTGGGGGCTCCCAAGCAGCAACCTGGGCTGGTGGCTCATCGTGAAGGCCCGAGGATGAGGCACTGCTTGAGGCCTGCAGAGCTGGATACTACCATGAAGGGGACGAGAAGGAGCCAAACATGGTCAAATGTCTATTACAAGCTAGAAATGGTGTTGAGAACTCTGTTCCCTTCTTTAGATCTTAAATTTGTGCTTTTAAAAATCTCTAATAATATCAAACCTGAAAATACTCAATTAAATTTAAGACAATTTTTAGAGGCAAAAATTTTTCTAACTTAAAATTGGATGAAATAAAGCATTAAAAAAAAAAAGGAACAAGAATTTCTGTGGCCAGTATTTGATAAATAAATATGAGCTCATTCTAAGACTGAAGAACTCTCTTAAGACTATTTGGTTTTCTCAAAAACACTGAAAAAACAAATGTCTCTAAACTTTGCCTCATTATAAATTACTCAAAAGATCAATACTCAGAATAAAGCAGATGGAAGCATGATTACAAATGAATTTAAACAGAATTTCTATTATTCTGATTAAGCAGCAATGCTAACAACAAAGTAACTGCAGGGAAAGAGGACAGTAAAGTCAAGGTGGTCTGACATTAAAATGGGGTCAAATGAGCCCATAATGTTTACCTATCATAGTAAATCACAGGAAGTTTTGTTTCCTAGAATCTGCCTTGAAATTAACTTTCAATGGTTTAGAGTTATATCATATTTATCTGGAATTATTAGAGGCCTAAGATGCAATGCAAAGTATAATGTAGACTTTCTGAATAACAAACTTTCCAAGAGCAAATGTCTGTCTTCTATGATGACTTACTATGTGAGGTGCTATATAAGATACTCAGTGTCTGCACCCATCCTCACAATCTCGTTCAGGGTAAAAAAAATTCTGTACTTCAAAAGCCTGAAGTAGAGGGAAGACAGGTCTTTGGTTATATGTGGGGTTAATGTATCTGTTGGCACACTTTTATGAAAACCATATCTGGTAATTCATTCATGTTCTGTGTAACTTTTGGGGCAAGGGAGGAGGATTCAGTCATACCAGGGTGCTCAAGGGACCATATGCAGAATAAGGGGTCCAAACTGGGGTCAGCTGCCAGCAAGGCAACTGCCTTAACCCTTGTAATATCTCTCTGGCCCTTTGTAACTTGTTACCAAGTTTGCTCTATCAGTGCATTTTTTGTTATTAGAAAGCACTTGGTTTTTCCTACATAGTATTATAGCACCACCTTGTGTCAGAAACTGGAGCAAATGAGCAGACACCTATTTTGGGATACCTTAGTTGTCCAAAGTTTTACTGTCCAGTCAAATGATGAAGTGACAAAAAGATGTGAGAAATCCACTGCTCCAACAGCTGCATGACAATGGATCCCAGTGATTGGTCCTTGATGACCCTCAAACATCTCACTGATTCCAGCTTTGCTGTGACATAAATATGAAAATATTAGGGAAATCTCTTATAAGTAGAACACATTAAATACATTTTATTATGAATTTAAATATCAGACTTTGAAATAATTTCAACAAGCTCCACTCAGAGCTTATACCACACCAGAATTATGTTGAGCAAACATCTCTATGTAAATATGACAACACTAAGAACATTTTGGAACCATACAGCCAACCTCAAAAGCCCAATATCTGTGGTTGTGGGATAGCGACAAAAAAAGACTACATGTAAGGAGAAAGCTAGGCTACTTTTAAATCAAAAGCTTTGCAGGGAAGGTGATCTGTATTTGAGATGACATCTGGACACTCAATTTTTTTTTAAGGAAGCAATTGATAAGGTACAGCTAGACAATTTCAAAACAGATTGAACAGCAGGAGAAATACTAGCCAATTTAAAATGTGTACGTGACATTACTGTACAATTATCAGTAAGACTGAACTAAAGCTTCAAGTCAAAATAAATTGAAGTGGATAAACAGCTGAAAATCTTATTTATAACTTAAATGTCAGTATGTAACATAATCACATATTTGTAATTACTGAGTGCTAGCTCCTACCAATAGCTTTTATGAGTGCAGACAGACACAAAATCATAACACATTATAACCTATGAAATGAACAACATAATATAATCTAAATAACCCTTAAGTTTAAAAAAGTATTTACGTATTTAACTTTAAATACCTGAAGTCAAATATTTTGTACAAGTAATAAATAAGTGGATCCAAGGCAGATTTATACTTAAAACAAGGGCAATTTGTTTTGATGAGATTACTCAAGGGAAAAATTTTTGCTTTATTTTGTTTCGTGTTTGGGTTATACCCAGCAGTGCTCATGAGTTACTCCTGGTTGTGCTCACAGTGGTCACTCCTGGTGGCACTGAAGGATCGGAACAGGGGTCAGTCACATGCAAGCTAAGTACCTTAACTCCTAGATGATCTCTCTTACCCACATGGAAGGATTTTAAATAACTGCAACTTCAGATTTACCTGCCATGACGACATGCTGTGTATACAGAACCTTCTTCACTCCCAACAACAAAGTTGTTGACATCTCCAACAGGGAAGGACATGGATGTTACAGCTACTGCCTTTGACTGTTTATGAACCAGTTCCATACTATCCTACATAGAAAAAAATAAAAATCAAGGAAATCATTCAGTAGCTTGACATTTTTCATTTTTGTAGAAAAATTTCTATTTGTGTTCGCTTTGCAAAGAATTAAAACTATGTAAATTTATTTTTGTTTTTTTGGGCCATACCCAGCAATGCTCAGGGGTACCTTATAAAGTGCCAAGGATCAAACCTGGGTTGGTCACATACAAGGCCAAAGCCCTACCTGCTGTACTATTGCTCTGGCCCTAATAATGTAAATCCACCTTGATAATTACGTTTAAATTAAAAAATGCAGCGAACTATATTAACACTTTTTGATTAAAAAACTGTCATACTAGTTGAAATAATTCAACTATAAAAGTTTATTAGAAATGGTCATTTATAAAGATTTTTTAAAAAATAATAACAGTGCCCCCAGTTTTCAGTTTTTGAAGTTTAACCTACCTGTGGATGGGAAAGCATGTCCAGACTCCATGAACAAATTTTTCCATCAGTAGAGATGCTAATCAGATTGTGAGCATTTTGTGTTCCAACCACATTTACACAATATACAGGATGCTATAAAAAGATATTAAAGTTTCCAAAGATTATCTTGTCAGAAAATGAAGCAATTCTTACTATATAAATACAAATATTGTTTCATATTAGAAGGTGATATCTTGAGGGTTTTCAAAAACCTAAAGTATAAAGCTATTTTGTTGATTAACAAAATGTCTCAGAAAAAAGAGGAGTGTCAAAAAGTAGATTTCCAAAAATACTGAAAAAAAAGGGCTTTGTTCTTGGTTACTAAATCATGGGGAATTCATACATTAAAGAAACATTGCCATTATGCTGGTGGATACTACTAAGGAACAGAGAGGTCTAATAGAAATAACCTTATTTTTTACTTACTGTATGTGCAGCAGCTGACAATGGAGTTCTTTGCACTGGAGTTCTTTTATTGCTACGGTTATCCCACAGCACAATTTGGCCCGAATATGTACCACCAACGACCAGATTTGGATGAAATTTTGCAAATGTAGCAGACATCACAGCTGACTGTAAGTAAGATTTTTATATTTAAGGTTCAAGTTACTAAAGCCTGACAAGTTACTAAAATTAATTTATTATCCCAAATATTTTCTCCTGTATTGTAAGATATTGGATATTATAAAAACAGTTTAATAAATTCATTAAATAATTTATTGTTCTGGGACCAGAGAAATAATACAGCAGGTAAGGTGCTTGCCTTTCACATAGTCGACCAGAGGTTCTATCCCTGTATGGTTCCCTGAGACCCGCCAGGAGTGATCCCTGAGTGCAGAGCCAGGAGTAAGCCCTAAGCACCGCCAGGTGTGGCCCAAAACCAAAATAAAGAAGAAAATAAAAAGTAGAAAAGAATTGTTTCAGAACAGCTTAAAAGTCAAATGCAATGTGTTTACAGAAATATATGTAAGCAGTTTATCAAAGCAAGCACAAAATTATTCTGAGTACAGTACTTAATCAGAAGACAGGTGATTCTGCATTAGATTTCTGTTATCACATTACTCTGCAAGAGTAATGTGATAACAGAATATATACTAGTTGTGACTCAGTTAAGAGTTTTCTACAGAATTGTATTAGGAAGAGGTAAGTTATGAAATCAGAAAAGCCTTGCAAATTCTATCCACTTTAAAAATCTGCATCTGTTTCCTACTTCAAACATATGTTTCTACTTAAAACTATCTAGTTCCAACTCCTCAGGCCATGTATAAGTAATTCAGTGGGCCAACCGTCTAATTGTATATTCAGCAAATAAGTTCCTGAGAAATTCCCTGTAGAAAAGACATTTTATGAAAGATTCCTTTTATACAATCAATCATAATAACAGAAAATCACAACTGCAAAGGACTTTAGGTGTGATTAAACATTATAAGAGATGTCAGAAAAGCTACAAAAGGCAGATCATGTTGAACTGAAAAGTCTTCAGTTTTCTGTTAACATCTGTTTGCAAATACGGGGTGGTTTAGTAAATGCCAATCCAATGAAATCACTATGTTGACAAGGAAAGAAAAAAGGCACTTGTCTACATTCATTAATGAATTCTTAAACTTGGGGAGACTGTTAAAAGACCATCTTACCTGGCAGTGAAACACATACTCAGGAGTAGTTTTTTTGTACTTCATATTCCAAACAAGGGCCACACCGTCAGGCTCATGAGGTGCATCTTCGTTGTTATTATAGGAGGCCACAAGTAACTCTGGATACTATATGCAAAAATCAAGTGGAGGAAAAAATGCTCTGCATTAGAACTGTATGACATTCTTAGTTAACTGTCTTTAGGATTATTATGAAAATACTTAGAATTGGGATATTAACACAATTTAAAATTAAACTTAAATTAATATCATAAGTTAGTTACCTAAAATACACATTACAATTTTATTTAAAGGATTTCATGAATAACTGAAATTAGTAAAACTGGACTGTACCATAAGTAAATTGGTAGGTTTTAAAATAATTTCCAAAAAAAACCAAAATAGTCTATTTCCAGTCTTTTCTTTCAAAGGACACTAGACAAAATGAATGTAACATTAGAACAATGATTTTAAGTGACATAAATTTAATTATACCAAGTTACAAAATTAAAGTTATCTAAGAATTATAATTAAAAAATGAGGACACAACATTCAATTGTTATAATTTACCTGAGATGACCAATCCAAACAACTAACAACACGATGTTTTGACCAACGTTCATCAAAAAACTGTCGATTTAATGATAGTTTAGCACCTGCTTGGATCTCTCTACAGAAACAAACAAACCCCAAATATGGTGTTATAACTCGTCATTTTAAATTTTAAAATAATTTAACATTCTGTAAGTCATAATTTTAGTAATTAAACTTTACCCTTCTTTGTCTTCCAGATCTCTTCCACTGTAGTCAAAGAAGATGTTAATCTGCTCAGAAAGAGCTCTTTCTACAATTCTTGTAGTATGGTCAAAGAAACTTAAAAACTCCTCACAGTGCAAGATTTGCTGCTTCTCTTCTTCAGTCAGCTCATGAGGGGTCGCTGGAAAATAAATGTTTTTCTGAAGTCTGATTCATGTCAGTCTAATCATGTCAACTCACACAATTTGGATCAATGAATGCCACATCTTCTTCAGCCAGATCCACTTCTTTGATGTACAGCACTTTATTCTATATCAGTATATTGCTAATTAAAAAAATCCTGCCTTTTTAAAAGATAAAGGTTATTTTTACCATCATTTTCTTCATCTTTCTGCAAAGTTTTCTCTTCTTCGGGTTCAATAGGTGGTTTAGGAGTTACAACATCATCTTCTTCCTCTTCATCTGGGAAAAAACAAAACCAATAGAATCAAAATCATTTTTACAAAAGTAACTGAAAACTATTCCTAAAAGTATCACAACTCTTTAGGTAAATGCAAAAGTAAATCGTCATTAAGATAGAACAAATACAAATTATAGGAATCTTATTATAATTAAAAAGTGGAAACTCTTTGTTTTTATACTTATCTGTGTGACACACACCAGTGTTCACAACCAATTCTATAACTACACAAACTGCAATAAAATCTCAGGAAAATAGGATGAATTTCTCAAGAAAAATCTCTAAAGGCTTGTGAGCATTTACCATTTCAGATAGAACAACATGCAACTGCACCATAGTTTTATGTAGCATGCTGACACATTAATGCTGCAGAATGAAGAAAAATCAAATGTCTAAAATAGCCTACAGAGCTTGCTGCTTACTTGTGATCTGAAACCATCAGTGTCTAATGGGTCTTCATAAGGCACAAAGACGGCTTACATTAACTCTCAGGTTGCTATTTGAGAGGCAGATTTTAAAGATAATAGCTATGAGACCACATTTCCCATTCTGTCATTTTAAAATGCAAGTCTCATTATCTATAGTATGATGTGGCAATAAGTACTGAAAATAATGTTTTCTTATAACATAAAAATATATATTGAGATAAAATATAGATAGTACAATGTTTATGATGATTCTCTTTTATTACTAAATGTCCTCATTGCACCAAAGTAGGAAGAAACATTAAATCACTTATTTCAAAGTGTTACAGAACACATAAGCCACTGCTACTGCTCTTTCACTACACACTGAGATGGATTTTTATAAAGAAAATGCTTATTTTTATTGCCTAAACAAATGAGGTGTCATTTGTCTATAAGGAAAAGGCAGTAGGCGTCAGTAGCAGAGCGCATCTTAAGTAATGAGAGCCTATTGAATAGGAAGACTTTCGTTTTTGTAGTCATTTCCCCATGTTCAAAATTATAAAACACACATACATATGACAAACACAAAAGAATGGTGAAAGATGGGAACCAGCTGCCAAGTCATGGTCCCAGCAGCCAGGCCAGCTGACTAGATAGCAACAACCAGATGGCACTGCTGGGACTGTGTCTTTCTGCTACAAGGTGGCAATGGGATGGCATAACATTCTTCTGCTTGACTGCTTCCAATCCTGTCTCTTCCCAATGGCGAGCCTGTGCAATTACCCGCACTCCAGGAGGCCTACAGATAAGCCTTTACCCTGCAAACAAAATGCAGCTTGTAGGCCACACCAGCTGCCAAACCACACACATAGTGTTAGATTTGGAGAGCGATGAAAATCTTTCTAACTCTATAGTATAAGCAATAAAAATATAACTGTACCTGTGGGAAAGAAAGCTTTAAATGACACTGTATAATGCACACAATGATACAACCTCCAACTTAATCAAAATGATAATGACGTATGCCAATCCTACATTACTTGAAATTGAGCGATTTTTACGTTCTGACAAGTTTACAGAACTAGGATAAATGGCACGAATGATTTCAATATATGCTCATACTTTTGAACCAAATGGTGAAGGTTAAAATTTTTCCTTTCAAGGGCCTCAATCAGCCACAAAGGAAAACAGTAATCACTGTCTTTTCAGCCAGCCCAACTGCATTTGTCAGCCCTTTCTCCGTCAATGCAGCCAGAGCAATCAACCTGCCAAACATTCAGAATGGAAAAACAATCTGAAAATACAGGGTATAATGCACCTGCCAGTGAAAATGGCCATTTCAAGAAAAGCTAGTGATCTCAGTGACCCCGCTGAGGAGGCGGTAGTGCAAAGGGGAAAGAACACGTAAAAGAATTCTTAGTGATCGCCACTCTCTTGCACATTGACACTTCCTTACAAAGCATGCCAATTATAGCTTTTGTGCTACTTAAAAAAAAAAAAAGAAAGGTTTTTTTTCTTTTTGGCAAAATAATCACAGAGAAACAGAAAGACGGTACTCCTTTTTAGATGAATTCTCATATACAATAGATTATTAATCTGAAAATAGTACAACTGGTAACAATTCCATACCGTACTACTCAAAGATTAGGATGAAATTCTATAATAAAATCACCTCTAGGTGTAATGTAGAAAGAGAATTTAATTACACTTAACTTGAAAGTTGACTTTCAAAACACAATATTTACTTAATCAAAACATTGTCTGAGACTATGTATTTCTGTGTTATGCTATTATGTTGTCCTAATCAATTTTGTTTAGTAATTGGGTTCGCTATATAAGTTGAAAAAAAAAAGTAGGGATTTCATCCTGGACAAGTCATTCTTGAACATAGTGAAATTATAAATTACAGCTTCCTATCCACATCATATTCTCCTCCCTCAACTTTGTTGCATTATACGGCCTTCTTGATACCATTTCCAGTGACAGGTGTCACGTTCCTGTCATAATGCATATGGTCAGTATTTTAGTGCTAAGTGACCTCATAATCTACATATTTTACAAAAAAGCTTGTTTATAGACGTGTTTCCTTTTGAAAATTTAAAATGTAGATGAGTTATACTAGACAGTGCCCTTTATCTGCATGTTATACAGGCATTTCCCATGCATATTTGTCCATATAGATTATATTAATTTTACTTCAATGAGAGGTAGCAACTATTTAAATTCATATTTTCAGGTCTAATTTTAGAATCAGTGTACGTACTTCCCTCTTGATACAGATTTTATAAGTATGATAATTAAAGTATTCTATAGAAATTTCAAGGAACATAAAAATGACCTGCTGTTCAGAAAAATGGCAAATGTGATATTTTAAAGTTGGTCTTCAATAATTGTCTCCGTCAAATATGTGACAAAAGTATCTAATATCAATAACAGTCTAGGGAATGTTCTTCTGAAATAAACATTTTTCTTAGTATAAACTAATATGCAAGTTTCTAAAGGTCTAGTAATCTGACTAAAAAATGACATAATTCTAGAGACTTTTTTAGAGCCAGCTCCTATTACATGATAAGCTATATTTTAAAACTAAAAAAATAGAGCAAGAGCAAGAAAGCTAAAAAATGGGGCTGCCATGTCACATCAATTTTTTTGATGAATATTCATTGCAATATGCTAAGTGGTTAACTCCATGCTTTCTCTGACAAGGAATCTAAGGTTATAAACTGAGCAGTAAAGAATGCATAAAAGTAGCAGTTACTTTTAAAATGACAAATCTCTTGTCAATGAATACTAAGACTAGGTTTAATGAACCATTCAATTTTTACTTTGAGTTAACATCAAAATTGTGATGTATTTTGGTGAGATGGAAAGAAAAGCTGTTCTGTAAATTAAGCTGCACCTAGAAATAACACCAAAGAATGAAATTCCAGTTGTCGGAATAATCTGTTACAATGGAGTAGGTTAATCAAAGTTAAATCATCTGTGAAATGGGTGGCTTTTGTTAAGTTGAAGGAAGAGTACTCAGAGCAAGTTTTCTTATCTATGTCATATTATATTTAAAAGAGATCTAAACTAAGACTAGGTTACAAAATACAAATTGAATTATTTTAAAACATCTAACGGATTAAAACAGTCATATGCAAGATATCTGAAAAACCTAAGAAAATGATACTTCTCATAACTAATTCTTATTATGAAATGAAAATCAAATCCCAGCACTATTATATTAATGTATTTGTTATTTTTAATTTACTACAAATGCAGATTCCATGCTAATTTGGGAGAAAAATAAGAAAGAAATAATTCCATACACCCTTTGCTCTGGCACAATTTGTCCTCTTACATGGCCCTTTTTATAATATAAAAAAATCCCTATTTTATTTAAAGTACTGGCATCATTTACATAAATTCTGTTACCTATGATCTCAGAAGTACAACATCTTTCTGAGGTCATAAGTTTAAGAACAAATGCTTCAATTTGAAATTATATTTAGAGTCAAAGATTCATAGAATCTGAGGGCTAAAACTAATTCACTAAATGCATTATAGATTCCAAAATGTCCTTTAAAATTCATTCTGGGGCTGGAGAGATAGCAGCTGACCTGGGTTAAATTACTGGCACCACACGGGATCCTCTGAGCCACCAGGAGTGATCCCTGAGCACAAAGCAAGGAGTAAGCCCTAAGATCTACTGGGTGTGGCCCCAAAATCAAAATAAAATAAAAATATAAAATTTATTTTAGACAAAAAGGTTCACAAACTTAAATGTACTTGGAAAAGATGGATCGAGGTTATTAAGATCATGCAATAAAAATTAAGACCTATTCTCATAAAAGTTTTTTATACATTATAAAAGTTAAACATGTATATCTAAGAAAAAAATTTCGGGCTACTAAACCAATACTAAAAATTGTTACAAAGCCTCACACTGATAAACAAGTGGAAAAATATGAGGAAAATATCACCTCACTGGAAATCAAAAGCCAGGTTACTATCGTAGCCCTAATATGCTCTCACACTGTGTTCATGGACTCATCAATTAACTTCCCTGGTACTCAGTTTCCTCAGACATAAACAAACTGATTAGATTTGATGATTCCATTAGAATTTCTTCCCCCTTTAAAAATCTGCTTCTAAAAAAATAGTAACAACAAAACTCAGACTGAAAAAAAGGCTAAGAAAAATTAATGCCATTTGTAAGAGAAAAAAACTTCTAAAAGGTAAAGGAAGAAAGCAACTTTTCCTGCAGTAGATCTGTGGGTACCCTGCTCCTGCCATAAGATGCTTTTTGCCTGCAGAGAGAGAAATTGACTGAGGTCACATGGTCCTAGTCAATTTCACTCCCAGTAGGTAAGACAGTACTTTAAGACAGAAAAGCACCTGAGTTCAGAGACAGTACTACCAACCTATACTGTAAACTTGAAAGGGAGAAGATAACTAGAATCAGAGAAAAGAAATACAAGGCAGAATAAAAACTACAGTTTAAAATACAGGCTCAGGTATTTAAAAAAAAAAGGGGGGGGAAGAAGAGTTAAATCTAAGACCAATTTTTACCTTCAATTTGGTAACTCACATTACTTCTGCACTGATTACAC